CCCATGGAGGCACAGTGGTGGCCCTTGGTGCTCCCCTGCCCAGCCGGCACAGCTGGATGGCTTTCCAGAGAGTGCTCGGCTGAGCTGCGGCAGGGCTAGTCGTCGGTGGGAGTGGGAGGGCCTTGTCTGATTCCGTTCCAGCTGGAGCGTCTGCTTTCTTGACTGATCCCAGATCTAAGTTCGCATGTTCCCCTCCAGCCTGTCCCGCTCCAGGTTATAAATCACGCCGAGAGCTTCCAAGACTCTAGCCGGGTAGCGATTACACGAACTAAATCAAACCCAGTCAAAGGCAAGCGTCTGCAGGCAAGTTGTGCGCGACTGCTCTTCCCAGCTGGCTTTGGACATCTTCCCACTCCAAATTTGCCGGGGGGCACATTCTGATTTGATGGCAGATGCTTCTCCCCCCAACAACAGCAGCCTTCTCTTCGCTTCTGCATCCGAGCCCAAGGACGGGCCTGGAGCCCAGCCAGCAAACCACGCGCTCTCCCCGTGGCAGTTGCCGGATGGCTCGACGGCTCGTGGCCCTCGCGGCCGCTGCTGCCGTCGCTGCTGATGTGGCAGTTCAGAGCTGGCGCCCGAAGGCCTCTTCGCTGCCATTTGCTTGGCCTTGGTGCCTATCCAGGGACTGATCAAACATAAGCCAGGGCAGGAAAGCACCACCGGCCAGGTTCGCCCCTCTCCCCCCCCCCGCCCCGCTGAGCAGAATGCCAGGAATAACAACCTTTGCAACAATATTTTCCTCTCTGTTTTTTCCCCCAAGGTTCATAATACAGAAGGGGAGTAAACCATGACATGCCGCCCTGCCTGCCAGCCTTAAATCAATATCTTTTCTTTTTCCATTCTCCTTTGCAAAAACTTACGTTGCTCCCGCTTTGCAGCTCAGAAGCCTTCTTCAAGCCCCGGTTGATAGAATGCAACTCTTCACTGGGGTCCATGTCACTGAAGTTTCACGTTCCTTTCGCACGGGACCATTTTGCTTCAGGTTCAGAGGGTGGCTGGGTGGCTGGGTCCTGGCACTAGGTTCCTTAGTGCCAAGGAAGCAAGATGGCATCTTTAATAAAAAGACCATTCCCAAGATGGATGGGGTTGATGGCCCTATCCAAGCCTCAGTCAAGTAATCCTGGAGTTAAAATGGGAGCCCCACACAAACATTTAATATAGCATCCTATTTTCCAACCAGCAAAGATCCCTTTCAGTATGAGTTAAAGTGCTCCTGACTATTATGGTTGGTCACACAGTCAGCCAGATGTTTAGACTGGATTTTGTCCACCTCTTCCCAAGGACACGGGATAGGCAGATGTTGTTGTGTGATGGTGTTAAAGGTTTGTCGCAAGATGGAAGCTGTTCCAGGTAAAGCTGCCTTTTGCTATTGACTGGGAGTGATTTTGGCAATGCTGATGTCTTCAAGTGGTGCTCCAGATGTTTTGGGATCGCACCCAAGGCGCCTGTTACTGTTGGTACTATCTTTGCTTTCTTTTGTCACAGTCGTTCTACTTCTATTTGCAGGTCTTTGTATCTTGCGATTTCCTCCTTTCTCTCTCTTCTGTTCTGCTGTCCACCGTCCAGACTTTTTTGTCTTTCTTATCAACAATTGTTAAGTCTGGGGTGTTGTGTGGCAGGTGCTTGTCTGCTTGAATTCTAAAGCTCCAGAGCACTTCGGCTTCTTCGTTTTCTATCACTTTGTTTTGTGGTCTTACCAGTTCCTGTTTTTTTAATTTTAATTTTAATTTTTTATATGATGATGATGATGATGATGATGATGATGATGATGATGATGATGCAGCAATGAAGTCCTTAAGCTTTTCATACTAGCATATAATCCAATAGGGAATGGGAAAAAAATCAAGCAGATGGAAGGGAAGGTGGGTGGAACCAGGATGGTCTCTATTATACGAAATTTTATTGCTTTTCGCTTCTTGGGCTAGGAATGTCAGTAAAAAAAATACCCTCTCAATTGATCCTTGGCTTGTTTAGATTAAGTGTTGCTTCTTGTCTATTCTTCACAAAAGGAGACCACGTTTTAAGGTCAGTTAATGTCAGGCCTAGCCCAAGGAACTCCAAAAGACAATGCAAATTCAGTCCAGCTATGTTTATTAGCTACAACCTCTAG